GATAAAACAAAAAGACAGATAATGCAAGACATTTGAGTAAGGATAGAAATTGGCAGCAGAGGAAGCACGTAAATGCGGGCAGGGTAGCAGCGGAGAGAGCACGTGCAAATGGGGAGTGTAGGGATTGAATGCGCCGTCTGTGTATTTGTTTGCTTCCTGGATTAACGCGTTCACTCGCCCGACCCGCTGGCAGCCACGCGGGCCGCTGACTCCGCCGACCCTCGACGAGTGAGGAGCAGTGAGCGGAGCCAGGCACCCGGTGCCCCTCTCGTCTGTGACCCCCCCCCCCACGGTGTAGACGCACCGCCTACGCACTCAGTTGCTACGCCACTGCAGCCAGCTCCCTGTCTAATCGGCGCTCGGTGTGAGCCACCCACGGTCCTCCTGCAAGGTGGACTGCACGCGTGCCCGAGATTCCTGCTTTCATCCTCCGGCCCAGGGAGGGTGGGATGGGGGAAGGGGGGGAGGGGTCCATCGTACAGTGAGGGAGGCTACAGGAATTCACCACACATCCACTTGTTCCAGCACGTGTGCGTGTGTATATGTACATTGCACTTCTTTCGCGGCGTACTTGGCCAACCGTGCTAATCGGAGGTGTGTGGAGTCTGTTTGTTCTCCCCACTGTTGAGGTGCATGGGGTTTCCTCCACGGTCCTCCGGTTCCCTTCTCCCATAACTGAACAGAACATACAAGGTTAACTGGCACTGACCAATAACTAAACTACTCAACTACAGGTAAGGCCCACTGAGCTGTAGCTGTTTTTTCAGAAGGGACCTGGCCACAAATGATAGCTCAACCAGTCCCAGAATGCCGTGTGGCCGATAGAATGTGTAAAAAGAATACTTAAACGTTAGAAATGTTGAGTGTTTATTATGCAAGGGAGGATTGGGGTTAATGTAAAAGCAGTGCCGGTTCTGTGGACGACAGAACGACAGAAGGGTCGATGGATGGATGCATGGGCAGATAAAAACAATTCAGGGAGGGGGCTGTGTTGATAGCGAGGCACTGGCACTCAACAACGCACGCGCCACATCCGTCAGGAACGCTGCCCTGCCACAGGAGGTTAGTGCACAGCACTAAACCCTTTCACCTGAGACGGTGCCAGCGAGACAGACAGTAGGAACAAGACAACATAAAGCATTCTTGCATCGAATCGTGACGACTTATTGTATCGGCGGGCGTGACGGGAGTGATGTTGCTACGACTATTTCACTACTTTTTAGTATTGTACCAGCTGTGTAGCGCTTTTTCAGAAGCGACCTGGCCACACAAATGATAGCTCAACGAAGTGGATTATCACCATGTGGAAATCTATAGCAGCAAAATACTCGAAATGCACGTTGATTCTAAATGTTGATTCTAAATGTGGAGGGAAAACCCGAAGGACCCGGAGAAAAGTCCACACGACCACCGGGAGAACACGCACGACCTCCTGTATACCAGGCGAGGTAGTTAACATCTCCTAGCCACCGTGATGATGAGAGAGAGAGACACGCAAACTCCCAATACACAGCAGGCTGCAGGATCGGGATAAAACCCACGACCTCCGGTATACCAAGCGAGGTAGTTAACATCTCCTCGCCACCGTGGCACCGGGTCTCTCCAGCCGAGTGAAGCCCTGTAAAGTTGCACTGCCTTCATGCTCGATCGCTATACGCCGCTCAGTCCCATGTTAGTCCGTGTGTTGTTATTCGAGTCTTTGGATCTCCCTGTAAAACTTACCGGGGGCTCTCCGTGAGACCACGGTTGGGTAGTAGTGTGGGTAGCTTGGTTGCCATGGGCGCTGGTGTGAGGAATGACAGACCCCCATCCCGCCTTGTGCCCATTCCCACTGCCCTGGTTGCAGCCTGGCACCTGAGCCTTTGGTGCGACTGGTTTACATGGTGGGGGGCGGGGGGGGCATACAATAAACTAGGGAGGAGACGTGACACAGTCAGTGTTAAACCATGGTGGCTAGGAGATGTTAACTACCTCGCCTGGCATACAGGAGATCGTTCGATCCCGACTCTGACGCCTGCTGCTGTATATTTAGAGTTTGCATGTCTCTCTCTTTACCCGTGGCCACGTGCCTTTTTCTGCTGGTCCTCCGGTTTTTCCCTCCATATTTAGAATCAATGTGCATTTTTTGCTGCTATAAATTTCCACGTGATAAGCCACTTCGTTGAGCTATCATTTGTGATTGCTCAGTGGGACTTACCTGGTAAAATAAAATAGTTAATAGTTTTTTTAGTTTAGTTTAACTTTAAACAACTATTCAGCGCCAAACAGAATGAGTAAAGATATCTGCTTTTGTCCATCATGCATTCTGCTCTAGCCCTCGAAGTTGGGCAGTGTAGCAAACTTTGGAGAAAAACCGCCACTGGCATTAAATAGTTTGTTGTGTCATCATCATCATCATCGTTTTTTTTACTTGCCTTAGCTAAAGCGGCCACCTTTTTCCGCAGAGCAACCCGGGACGTATTTCTCAGTCAGCCCTGGGCCTGCTATCAAATCTGCGCAGTAAACCGCAACGGAGTTCAACATAGCGACACCCACTTGCAGATCTCGGCATAAATCAATTCCTTCTGCTACGGGCAGAACACCGGCGCCAATTCCTATACTTTACCGGATCACACCGGGACAGGTGGGCGAGATGTTAACTACCTCGCCTAGTACACAAGATGTAATGGGTTCGATCCCGACTCTGATGATGCCTGTATATTTGGAGTTTACGTGTCTCTCTCTCCCCGTGGATGCGTGGATTTTCCTCAGCGTCCTCCGATTTTTCCCCTCCACATTTAGAATCAACATCATGCGTTTAGAGTATTTGGCTGCTATAAAATTACACGTGATCAGCCACTTCGTTGAGCTATCACTTGTGGCCAGGTCGCTTTTGAAAAAGAGATATACATCGCTCAGTGGACCTTACCTGGTAAAATAAAAAAAAAATGTTTGCCATTATTTATATATTTTTAATGTTTATTTAACTTTCCTATACTTTGCACTCCTATCGTTGTTTTTGTACTGTTTGTTGTTGGAATGTTCTGACCCCGTGCTCCTACTGGACATGTTTGGGAAAAAAGAGCTTTACAGCTCATCGGATTCCTGCAGTAGAGTATTTGGATGCTGCTATAAATTTCCATGTGATGCTGAGCCACTCGTTGAGCTATTATTTGTGATAGCCAGGTCACTTCTGAATAAAGAGTTACAGTGAGGGAAAAAAGTATTTGATCCCCTGCTGATTTTGTACGTTTGCCCACTGACGAAGAAATGATCAGTCTATAATTTTAATGGTAGGTTTATTTGAACAGTGAGAGACAGAATAACAACAACAAAATCCAGAAAAACGCATGTCAAAAATGTTATAAATTGATTTGCATTTTAATGAGGGAAATAAGTATTTGACCCCTCTGCAAAACATGACTTAGTACTTGGTGGCAAAACCCTTGTTGGAAATCACAGAGGTCAGACGTCTCTTGTAGTTGGCCACCAGGTTTGCACACATCTCAGGAGGGATTTTGTCCCACTCCTCTTTGCAGATCTTCTCCAAGTCATTAAGGTTTCGAGGCTGACGTTTGGCAACTCGAACCTTCAGCTCCCTCCACAGATTGTCTATGGGATTAAGGTCTGGAGTCTGGCTAGGCCACTCCAGGACCTTAATGTGCTTCTTCTTGAGCCACTCCTTTGTTGCCTTGGCCGTGTGTTTTGGGTCATTGTCATGCTGGAATACCCATCCACGACCCATTTTTAATGCCCTGGCTGAGGGAAGGAGGTTCTCACCCAAGATTTGACGGTACATGGCCCCGTCCATCGTCCCTTTAATGCGGTGAAGTTGTCCTGTCCCCTTAGCAGAAAAACACCCCCAAAGCATAATGTTTCCACCTCCATGTTTGACGGTGGGGATGGTGTTCTTGGGGTCATAGGCAGCATTCCTCCTCCAAACACGGCGAGTTGAGTTGATGCCAAAGAGCTCCATTTTGGTCTCATCTGACCACAACACTTTCAGCCAGTTGTCCTCTGAATCATTCAGATGTTCATTGGCAAACTTCAGACGGGCATGTATATGTGCTTTCTTGAGCAGGGGGACCTTGCGGGCGCTGCAGGATTTCAGTCCTTCACGGCGTAGTGTGTTACCAATTGTTTTCTTGGTGACTATGGTCCCAGCTGCCTTGAGATTATTGACAAGATCCTCCCGTGTAGTTCTGGGCTGATTCCTCACCGTTCTCATGATCATTGCAACTCCACGAGGTGAGATCTTGCATGGAACCCCAGGCCGAGGGATATTGACAGTTCTTTTGTGTTTCTTCCATTTGCGAATAATCGCACCAACTGTTGTCACCTTCTCACCAAGCTGCTTGGCAATGGTCTTGTAGCCCATTCCAGCCTTGTGTAGGTCTACAATCTTGTCCCTGACATCCTTGGAGAGCTCTTTGGTCTTGGCCATGGTGGAGAGTTTGGAATCTGATTGATTGATTGCTTCTGTGGACAGGTGTCTTTTATACAGATAACAAGCTGAGATTAGGAGCACTCCTTTTAAGAGTGTGCTCCTAATCTCAGCTCGTTACCTGTATAAAAGACACCTGGGAGCCAGAAATCTTTCTAATTGAGAGGGGGTCAAATACTTATTTCCCTCATTAAAATGCAAATCAATTTATAACATTTTTGACATGCGTTTTTCTGGATTTTGTTGTTGTTTTGTCTCTCACTGTTCAAATAAACCTACAAATTAAAATTATAAACTGATCATTTCTTTGTCAGTGGGCAAACGTACAAAATCAGCAGGGGATCAAATACTTTTTTCCCTCACTGTACATAGCTCGGTGGGCCTGAGCTGGGAAAATTAAAAATAATTTTAGTTGTAACCATTGGTACGGCGCCCCCTCCAGCAACCACTCGACCTGGCGGGCACGGCCCCCACCGTAGGCCCCAAGGCGCCCGGTACAAATGCACGGCCTGCACTCTCGATGTCTCCTCCCTCTGTGTCACTCACTCCCGGCCTGCCGCTGCTCGTGCCGTTGCAGAGCGGCGTGTGGGCGCTGTGCGGCGGTGGTGGCGGCGGCGGCGGCGGTGGAGAAGGAAGCGTCACGGCCAGGCAGCCCAGTCCGCCCTCTTACCCGGGCCAGAAGCCCGAAGCGGTGGTGCATGCCATGAAGGTACCCGCGGACGGTACATAGCCCCACCACGACCTACCTGCCTTCTATACTTGTACACGAGTTTTGCCACAATAAAGAAAGTAAAAAAAACGACCAATTGAGTGCGTGCGTATAAGAGTGTGTACACGTGTGCGTACGTGTACGAGTGTGTGAGCGTGTACGTGAGCGTGCGTGCGTGAGTACGAGAGTGTGTACGCACGCGTGACTGCGCGCGAGTGTGTGCGGGTGTGTCGGCGTGTACGCGAGTGCGTGCGTGACTACGGCTGTGTGTACAAGTACACAAGCAGGTGCATGCGAAGGTTTGCGGTGCACGGGGCCGACACAAGGGTACGAGGATGCCATGGCATGGTGTGGCACTGTGGAATGGTGTGGCATGGTGGCATGGTGCCACGGGGGTGGCATGGTCATGTGGTGGCGCGGTGACATGGTGGTGTGTTGTGGCAATGTGTGGTGTGTTGTGGCAATGTGTGGTGCGTTGTGGCAATGTGTAGGGCGTTGCGGCAGTGTGTGGTGCGTTGTGGCAATGTGTGGTGTGTTGTGGCAATGTGTGGTGCGTTGTGGCAATGTGTGGTGCGTTGTGGCAATGTGTGGTGCGTTGTGGCAATGTGTGGTGCGTTGTGGCAATGTGTGGTGCGTTGTGGCAATGTGTGGTGCGTTGTGGGAATGTGTGGTGCGTTGTGGCAATGTGTGGTGCGTTGTGGCAATGTGTGGTGCGTTGTGGCAATGTGTGGTGCGTTGTGGCAATGTGTGGTGCGTTGTGGCAATGTGTGGTGTATTGTGGCAATGTGTGGTGCGTTGTGGCAATGTGTGGTGCGTTGTGGCAATGTGTGGTGTGTTGTGGAAATGTGTGGTGCGTTGTGGCAATGTGTGATGCGTTGTGGCAATGTGTGGTGCGTTGTGGCAATGTGTGGTGCCGCAGAGTGGCATGGCATGTTGTGCTGGAGCGCGGTGTAGTTTGTCGCGTGTTGCGTTGTGACGTGCACGAAGCGTTGTGGTTTCACGTGTCATGGTGCGTTACTAATTGGCGTGATGTGCCGTGGTATATTGTGGTATATTTGAAGTTTCCATGTCTCTCTATCCCCGTGGTCGTGTGGATTTTTCTCTGGATCCTCCGGTTTTTCCCTCCGCATTTAGAAACGCATGATGATAAGCCACTTCGTTGAGCTATAATTTGTGGCTCGCCCACTCACCGGACTACAAAGAGCTACATAGCTTAGTTGGGTTTACCTGGAAAATAAAAAAATAACATTGTGTCGTGGTATCTTTCCGGTATAAGGTGGGGTGGTGTGTTGCGGTGTGACTTTGCAGTGTGACGTGGAGTGTTGTGGAGTGGCATCACGCTTGGCGTGGGCCTGCTATGTTGTGTGCAGCCCGTTCTCCTCTAATGCCACGTGTTGCTTCCATAACGCGAATTGGATACAACGCGATGAATGTACGAGGAAACACTTTTTTTTATAACGCGAATTGGATATAACGCGATCTAGCGAATGGAACAACGTCGCACGAGTAGGAATCAGCGGTCGTACGGCTGCCTCGGCGTAGCATCGCACGAGCCAGTGGGATGCTGCTGGATGCTTCTAGATGCTGACGCTCCTCGGTCTTTGTTCGGCCTGCGTACGCATCTCAGGCGTTATCGCGGACCGTGCTTTACCCCCTACATTATGTATTATTTATAATGACGCGATGGAATCACCGATGCTTGCCGTTATTGGCCAATCAAAGGAAGGTTGGCCTGTCACATGACTAACTCCATCCAAGCATTGATTGCCAATGAATCGACATTCTCAAGATGGCTGCCCCTATCAACTCTGAGCGACTGCCGGATCGATGGAGCGGAATCGATAGGATTGACCTCGGTTCATGATCCGCAATACCATACAAGCGGGCAAGGACACCTCTTCCATGTATTGGGGGGGGGGGGGGGCAAATCTCCGATCGGTCATTTAGTCGGCTGTCCGATTTCATCGCTCTGTTACAGCGCCGCCGCCGCCGCTGCTGCTCTTGTCCTGTGCTACATAGCGCGCCTCTATCCCGTGATTACAATTCGTTGTTATTGTCGCAGGCAGCTGCTTGTTGTCAGGGTACGGTGTGACTCACAGCCACGCTCGTTTACCGTCGCTAAATGGGCGCCCGCTTCCCCTAGACAAAAATAAAATTAGCGCTACAGTCAAACCTTTTACACCTCTGGCGGTAATTCCGCTAAACAAATATTTAAAGCGCCGACGAAGCACATGATGATGCAGTAATTGACTCTTTTCACACGTTAATTTGTTTCTGCGTGGTTGCTTGCATTAGCGTCAACGCCACGTACAATATAAGTGGTGATAATAACAATAGCACTTCCAGTACATTTGGTATTCGTGCAATCCTTATGGCTCAGGGCTACCATGAAGGCGCGGTGTTTCACAGCTGGATGTAGTGGCTGCTCTGTGGAATCCCGCTTGAGTAATCTGCGGTAACATTTTTCTAATTTGAAAATTTTTGGCACACACAAGGTTCCCACTCGCTTCGAATGATCGTCACGGTATCTTGAGCGTCACAGGAACCTTAGCGACACGGGATCTTGAGCGTCACGGGGTCTTTAGCGACATAGGATTTTTAGCATCACGGCATCTTTAAATGACGACGGCGCGTCGTCATTTACAGCTAATACAAAGACACCGCATTATTAACCGGGGCGGCCTGCCGGAGCCGCATCACAACGAGCTGTGACCACAGAACCTCCGGGCCCCAGTTAATCGCACGTCGTGTTCCACGGCCAATAGACTGCGTGTTGGCCACCGCCACGCTCCGGCTAGGATACAGTTCAACTCCATCACCACTGTGCCTGGCACCCAGGAACTTTGCGATAATATATTAGTTGGTTTGATACATACGAACCGGGACTCCCTCTTCTCACACTCTTCCTACATTCCACTCTCAATTACTATAAACTATTAAACTAAACAATTTTTATTTGACCAAGTAAGGCCCACTGGGCTGGAAAGCTCCTTTTCAGAAGCGACCTGGCTATCACAAATGATAGCCCAATGAAGTGGCTCATCGTGTGGAAATCTGTCGAAGCCAAATACTCTAAGCGTACGGTGATGTTGATTCTAAATGTGGAGGGAAAAACTGGAGGACCCGGAAAAAAACCCACGCGAAGAGAGACACGCAAACTCCAAATATACAGCAGCAGCAGGCGTCAAGGTTGGGATCGAACCCACGACCTCCTGTACACCAGGCGAAGTAGTTAACATCTCCTAGCCACCGTGGCACCCATTGCCTCGATTACCCTGATTAATGGGGCGCAGGGGGAGGACAGGGTGTGGGCCCCCAAAAAACACAAAATAACTAGATAACGCAAAACTGGTGTAGATTAGGGCCTGACACAAACCAGCGGGGCGTGCCGGCTCCTCGCCGCACCCATGATGACGTGGCCGCCAGTGCCGCCCGTGACCGCCCGTGACCTCCCGTGCCGCCCGTGACCGCCCGTGACCGCCCGTGGCCGCCCGTGACCTCCCGTGCCGCCCGTGACCGCCCGTGACCGCCCGTGACCTCCCGTGCCGCCCGTGCCGCCCGTGCCGCCCGTGACCGCCCTTGACCGCCCGTGGCCGCCCGTGACCTCCCGTGCCGCCCGTGACCGCCCGTGACCGCCCGTGACCTCCCGTGCCGCCCGTGACCGCCCGTGACCGCCCGTGGCCGCCCGTGACCTCCCGTGCCGCCCGTGACCGCCCGTGACCGCCCGTGACCTCCCGTGCCGCCCGTGACCGCCCGTGACCGCCCGTGGCCGCCCGTGACCGCCCATGACCGCCCGTGACCGCCCATGACCGCCCGTGACCTCCCGTGCCGCCCGTGACCGCCCGTGACCGCCCGTGGCCGCCCGTGACCGCCCGTGACCGCCCGTGCCGCCCACAGGTGCTGGAGGTCCACGAGAAGCTGGAGAGGCAGGCGCGGGAGCGAGACATGAGCGAGAAGGAGAAGGCCATCGTGCGCGAGATGTGTAACGTACGTCGCCCCCCCCCCCCACACCACCCTGCCACCCCCCACCCTGTCCCCCCGGACCCCCCTCTCCATTTGGAGACGCGGGGAAGACGCAGGGAGACGCAAAAAGATACGCGGGGAGACACGGGGAGAACCAATGAGGTGTCATAGGGAGACAGATACTAGGGCATCGGAATCTGTATTTATACTGCAGGAGGAATCCGATGAGCTATGAAGCTCGTGTTCACAGATGTCCAGTAGGGACGGGTCAGAACGCTATAACAACAAAGAATAAAAAACACAATAGGAGTACAAAGTATAGGAAAGGTAAACACATTTCTTAACAAAAATATACACATTAAACTACATTATTTTTTTTATCTTACCAGATAAAGCCCACTGAGGCCTTCACTTATTTCTCAGAAGCGACCTGGCCACAAATGATAGGTCAACAAAGTGGCTCACCATCGTGTGGAGATTTATAGCAGCAAAAAATAATCTCAATAATCTCAACGCAGGCAGACACAGCGAGTCGCAGCCTGTGGGCGCAACAGAGGGAGGAGGACAGCTGCCGTGTACCGAGTATCTGCGTGCGTTCACACCGCACGGAGCACACCCGCGCTAATCGGAGGCGCGAGGGGGAAGGACAACACACTGAACACGAAATGTAGTTGTACAGAAAGTGAGTTTTGAATATGCGTGCTCAAGGTGTTTCATGACATGCCAATATAGAAAGTGAGTTTTGAATCCACGTGGTTTAAAAGTGCATAGCTCCAAGGGGGCCTTGGTCGGGGCGGCCTCTCGCCCACCACTGGGTGGGGTCGCCGTTCACGTCCCGGGGAGCTGCGGGTTCGAGCTGTTGCCGTTTGACGATCAGATGAATCGACGTCCCTGGTGAGGTGGGGGGGGTACGTGAGAGGGCATTTAGGGCGGAGGTGGTTAGTGGGGGGGGGGGGGGTGCTGAGTGGCACAAACGCCACGGGGGGTATGGGAGGGTAGGGCGGGTTTCACCGTCAATGACAAACCCCGATGTCCGTGGCCCACGAGACGGGGAATGTGGGGTGAGTGCGTGCGTGTGCGATCCGAAGGGCGAATCTTCGTGCCACCCGCTCGCTCGCCCACTCACGGGACTACAGAGACAAAGGTCCCCCGTGTAGCCTCAACAGACAGTCGGGGAAAGTGCTGTCAGCGAGCACCAATGAAGGCAGGCACGGCACACGAGGAGGTCGGTGGCCAGCACCGTGCCCGGCTGCCTTTGTATTCCCAGTGGCGATGTTTACTACACACCGCACCAGGTACTCATTTGAGACTGAATCGACCAATGGGAGGCCCAGGACCGGTTCAGATAATCGTCACTGGTGTTGACCGTGAGCGGGAATCGAACCCGGGTCGCCAGGTTCATAGCGCAGCGCGCTAACCGCTACACTCCCGCTCCCCACTCGCGACACACACGCACACACACACACTCACGCACACATCACGACCGCCCTCCTTCTCCCCGTCTCCTCTCCTCCACCAGGTGGTTTGGCGGAAACTGGGAGACACCTCGGGCCCCCCACCACCGGCCCGGCCGCCCCCACCGCACTACCCGGGTCCCGTGTGAAGTGGGGGGGGACGGCGGGGGGGGGGGTACCCCCCCACTCCCAGCAGCAGCAGCCTGGAAGTGTCACCTCGCCCCCTCGCCCGTCAATGGGGGGGCACCAGGGCTGGGAGTCGAGCTTGGGATGGGGACCTTGAGGGGGAGGGGGCAGGGGGCAAAGATGTCGTTGTGTTTAGAGTCTCGTGGGGGACGAGGCTCCTGCCACATTTTCATTTGAGTTGCCGAGCACAGGAGGCCCGAAGCGCCGAGCGGTCAGCAACAAGGAGCACTGCCACTGTAGTAATCGCTAAGAACTGGAAACGCGCTCCTTGAACAGAGCGAGGTTGTTGTTGTGAGAGCTGAGTGGGGGACAGAGAAGAGACGATGGTGGTGGGTGGAGGAGGGAACTCTACACAGTGGAGCAGTACGAGAGGACACGCAGACAGAGAAGTGAGGTGACCTGCAGTGTGGGGAGTGAGTGGGTCGGTGAGTGGGTGAGAGTGCATAGGAGAGTGGGTGGGTGTGTTGTTGTGACCTGCAGCAGGGTGGTGGTGAATGAACGTGCGATGTGGACGCAGCGAAACAAGGCAGCCAGCGAAGTTCATGGGAGCAGGAACCGCGTAGTCGAAGTAGCGATAGAAGAGTGATGAGGAAGTGATAGAAGAGTGACGAGGAAGTGATAGAAGAGTGATAAGGAAGTGATAGAACAGTGATGAGGAAGTGATAGAAGAGTGATAAGGAAGTGATAGAAGAGTGATGAGGAAGTGATAGAAGAGTGATGAGGAAGTGATAGAGTGATAAGGAAGTGATAGAAGAGTGATAAGGAAGTGATAGAAGAGTGATAAGGAAGTGATAGAAGAGTGATAAGGAAGTGATAGAAGAGTGATAAGGAAGTGATAGAAGAGTGATAAGGAAGTGATAGAAGAGTGATAAGGAAGTGATAGAAGAGTGATAAGGAAGTGATAGAAGAGTGACGAGGAAGTGATAGAAGAGTGATAAGGAAGTGATAGAAGAGTGATGAGGAAGTGATAGAAGAGTGATAAGGAAGTGATAGAAGAGTGATAAGGAAGTGATAGAAGAGTGATGAGGAAGTGATAGAAGAGTGATGAGGAAGTGATAGAAGAGTGATAAGGAAGTGATAAGGAAGTGATAGAAGAGTGATAAGGAAGTGATAGAAGAGTGATAAGGAAGTGATAGAAGAGTGATAAGGAAGTGATAGAAGAGTGACAAGGAAGTGATAGAAGAGTGATAAGGAAGTGATAGAAGAGTGATAAGGAAGTGATAGAAGAGTGATAAGGAAGTGATAGAAGAGTGATAAGGAAGTGATAGAAGAGTGATAAGGAAGTGATAGAAGAGTGACGAGGAAGTGATAGAAGAGTGATAAGGAACTGATAGAAGAGTGATGAGGAAGTGATAGAAGAGTGATAAGGAAGTGATAGAAGAGTGATAAGGAAGTGATAGAAGAGTGATGAGGAAGTGATAGAAGAGTGATGAGGAAGTGATAAGGAAGTGATAGAAGAGTGATAAGGAAGTGATAGAAGAGTGATAGAAGAGTGACAAGGAAGTGATAGAAGAGTGATGAGGAAGTGATAGAAGAGTGATAAGGAAGTGATAGAAGAGTGATAAGGAAGTGATAGAAGAGTGATAAGGAAGTGATATAAGAGTGATAAGGAAGTGATAGAAGAGTGACAAGGAAGTGATAGAAGAGTGATAAGGAAGTGATAGAAGAGTGATAAGGAAGTGATATAAGAGTGATAAGGAAGTGATAGAAGAGTGATGAGGAAGTGATAGAAGAGTGATGAGGAAGTGATAGAAGAGTGATGAGGAAGTGATAGAAGAGTGATAAGGAAGTGATAGAAGAGTGATGAGGAAGTGATAGAAGAGTGATAAGGAAGTGATAGAAAAGTGATAAGGAAGTGATAGAAGAGTGATGAGGAAGTGATAGAAGAGTGATAAGGAAGTGATAGAAGAGTGATGAGGAAGTGATAGAAGAGTGATAAGGAAGTGATAGAAGAGTGACAAGGAAGTGACGAGCGAGCGAGTGAGCCCCGGATCGCCCCAACTGCTTCACGTCGGCCTACGAGGTGGGAACTGGGCCCTACCGCCCGAGTTGTGACAGCGGCCTCCAGCCTCACGTGGGGACACGTTGGACAAATGTTAGACACGGTGCGCATGTTTGCGTCACGTGGGAGAGAGAGAGCGGAGTATCCAGAGAAAACCAATGAGGGGGAGGTCATGCTGGATGGGTGGATGGGTGCTCGGACCCACTTGCTGGACTGCCACCTCGTGGCCACCTCTTAAACGGCCCGGCAGCTCGTTGGGGAGTTCGGCAAAATCGCGTCGCGTTGAGCCTGCGTCTTGGTCGCGTTGGGCCTGCGTCTTGGTCGCGTTGGGCCTGCGTCTTGGTCGCGTTGGGCCTGCGTCTTGGTCGCGTTGGGCCTGCATCTTGGTCGCGTTGGGCCTGCGTCTTGGTCGCGTTGGGCCTGCGTCTTGGTCGCGTTGGGCCTGCGTCTTGGTCGCGTTGGGCCTGCGTCGTCGTCGCGGGCGGTGCCGCCACGGGGGCCCGGCCAACGGAGAGAGCGGAGTGACGAGGTGGAAGTGGCGTCGAGTGCTTTTAGAGGAAGACTAAAGACAAAGATCCCCTGTGTAGCCTTATCACACTGTTGGGGCAAGTGCGGTTAGCGAGTAGCGCCTATGAAGGCTGTCACGGCACACAAGGGGGGGGGGGAGGGGGGGGGGGGCATCACGCCCGGCCGCCTTTGTCTCCCAATGGCGAAGTTTACACATTGCACCAGGTACTCACGTTGAGGCTGAGTCGACCTAGGGGACGCCCGGGACCGGTTCAGATAATCGTCAGCGGTGTTGGTTGCCGTGAGCGGGAATCGAATTGGAGGGAGACTCGGCCCTCAACGCAAGCGGCTCCGTTCGTGTCGCCCCGCCGAGGCTGCACGCAAGGCTGTCCATGACACGCTCGTGCCACGTGGAGCTGACACCTCTGCCGAGACTGCACGCTGGTGCCACGTGGAGCTGACACCTATGCCGAGACTGCACGCTGGTGCCACGTGGAGCTGACACCTATGCCGAGGCTGCACGCTGGTGCCACGTGGAGCTGACACCTATGCCGCAGTATGACAGGGCCTCGTATCAACACTGTAGCCGGAAACTGCGATAGAGCGCAGCTCAACACGATTGCGGCACCAGATATCGGAACAAATCGATTCCTGTCACCCGAGCAACGACGCCAATACCGACCCGGGCAGGTGGCAACCCTCGTGTGTAAGTGAGTGACTTGGAAAATGAATGGGTGTATTAATAGGTGAGTGGGTGAGTGAGTGGGTGAGTTCCTGAGTGACTCGAAAAATTAATGTGCGCTTTAATGAATGGGTGAGTTACTGAGTGACTTGGAAAATGAATGGGTGTATTAATGAGTGGGTGGGTGAGCGGCCGGGTGGTATGGTCGCCACGTGTTCCACAGTCGTCCAAACCCGGATGTATTTATCGGTTAGCATGAGAGGTCGATGATCAAACCTGTACCGTAAACCGCACGATTCCGGTACCAGATCTTGGCACGAATAAAAGTCCCACCCGAGCCCAGGAAGGTGGCCGTGTGGTGGCAACCTTTCGCGGGGCATCGATAAGAGCCGCACCGCCCGTGTGTGCGTAGCGACAAGAGAAGAGCCGTGGGGGGAGGGCAGGGCCAGGGCCGTCCATAGAAGGGGGGCTGCGGTGCCCGGGGCAAACCCCACACCACGTGGGCCCTCTGACGCCAGGCACCGTGACGTTAAAGCGCCCCCCCCCCATACACGGGGCCCGGGGCGGTCTCCCCGATTCTCCGTGTACCCCAGGCACGGCTCTGTGCGCCCGTTGGGATGCAATTGCAGTCGGGGGCTTGAGCAATCTGTTGCCCGCGCGTGTTTTAATTATCTGCGTTGTGCTAATTGCCTGTCTCTGCTAATTGAGGAGGTGATGATGATGATGATCCATGCATGAGCCTACAACTCCCGTCTCTACCAAAAACCTCACCTGCTCCCGCCCGCGGTTATGTAAATATTGACACACGCGCGCACACATTACATGACAACAACAACAACCGCCATTCACCACGTAGCGATGGTGGCATCACCACGGCACTTGTGAAGAAGTCACGGGGCAAGCCTCAGGTGCCGTGGGTTCACCTGATGAGTCGACTGGCATGCACGCGCTAGCGTGCCCCACCTCGCCCTGTGCCTGTGCTGAGCTCGTCTGCGAGCCTCTCTTTTTCCACCCCTCGATTCCGGAGGGCGACTGCCTGCGGTGACTCAGGAGCGTCTCTCACGAATCCTCCTCGCGAGCGGCGGCGGCGGTGGTGGCTGAGAGTGGAGGAGCTCCATTCTCTGGGGAGTGTTGCTCGTTGGCCAGCTCCGGTTTGACGGGGGGGGGGGGCATCTCTCAAAATCAGTCGAGCGACGTTATCTTTTCGCGCCTTCGATTAGCACGGGTGGCTGCGTACGGTGCGAAAGAAGTTCATGCATGCATCTTTGCATTGCCCGTTTGGATCTTGTCTGGCCTGTCTATTCACTCACAATTACATTAATTCACATCACACACGCATCGATTTCTACACACACAAATACACAGAACACCCCGTATAGTCTTCTTTGGTTTTTTCGGTAAAGTCACGTAGAATGAGAATAAAATAATAAATTGATAAAATAAAATAACACAATAATATTCTCACGACGTTTCGGCCACAACACAAGCGGCCTTCATCAGGTGAAGGGAGCGAGACTGTCTGGTAGGACAGCGCCGCTTGTGTTGTGGCCGAAACGTCGTGAGAATATTATTGTGTTGTTTTATTTTATCAATTTATTATTTTATTCTCATTCTACGTGACTTTACCGAAAGAACCAAAGAAGATGAATCATTGCAGTCACGAAAGCTTTAAATCGAAATTTAACCCCGTATAGTCTTCACAGACTCTTTGGGCAAGTGCTGCTCGCGAGTAGCAGCAGCTGTGAATGCCGGCACGACACATGGCGGGGTGGGTGGCCAGCACCACGACCGGCCGCCTTTGTCTCCCTGGTGACGATGTTTTACACCCCGCTCCAGGTACACATTCGAGGCTGAGTCGACCTAGGAGATGCCCAGTACCGGGTCAGATAATCATCACTGGTTGTCGGTGTTGGCTGAGTCGGAATCGCGAACTCGGGTCGCTGGGTTCATCGCCCGGTGTGCTAACCGCTGCGCCACCGCTCCCCGCAACAACTCCCGCCGCCGCCGTTCGCCACTAAGTGACGGTGACGTCACCACAGTGATTGTGCCAGGCTAGGTGCACACACGCATCGTGCACATCATATGCAAGTACACACACATAACAAGGACAAAGAGCCCCCGTTTAGCCTGAACAGACTGTTGGGGCAAGTGGCGTTAGCGAGCAGCACCTATGAAGGCCGGCACGGTGCACGAGGGGGTGGGGTGGCCGATACCACGGCCGGCCGCCTTTGTCTCCCTGTAGTGGCGATGTTTACACACCAGGTACTCATTTGAGGCTGAGTTGACCTAGGGGATACTCACACACGTAACGTACACATCCTGACACACAGCTGTACAATGTTTTTTTTAATTAAGCGGCATAAAATGATATCTCATTGTGCCTCCGGGAACATCCAGTACATCCAGTACAACACAGGGTCTGTTTGAATCGCAAACTAATAACACGGAACACAGTAAGTGGTTATTTGTTTACCCGGGAAAAGCCTCGCCGACTCATTTCCAAGAGGATCCTCGCATGAGATGTTTGTCCAATTCCT